CCCTTAACTCTGAGGAATGGGTAACGGAGCTTGTCAGTGGCCACCCATAACCTCCCAGGCCTAACTTCTGCAGTGTGGGAAGGGCTTACTTCTCCTGCCCTGGGGGGCCTTCCCTAGCAACTAGCACCCATGATGCTCAGGGCAGGCTGCAAGTCGAGGAGTCTTAACAATGGAGTAATAGGATTTGGTGTATAAATACCCCCACGGGGTTGGGGAAAGTCACTGTAGATATCTCAGAGGCACAAATTCTATCCAAACCTCAAGAGTTCCAAGCAGGATGAAGTTGTTATTTAACGAGGCAACAGGCTTGTTAGCTTACCTTTTACAGGCTGTCTTACCTTCCTTGTCTCACTTCTCCTCTTCTATCCTAATATTTCTTTGCATCTACTTTCTCTCAGAATCTACTTGGGAAACCAAAACTACCAGTTCCAGAAATATATCTACATGTCGGAACAATTGAAGGCACTATGTTCTTGGAGCATGCAGTGAGGAAATGAGGAAATGCAATGAGGAAAGACATTGAAGATGATACAAATAAATGGAACGATACACCTGCTCATGGACTGAACAATCAATACTGTTAAAATGGCCACACTACCCAAAGCAGTCTAAAGATTCAATCCAACCCCTCTCAAAATACCAGACATTTTTTCCCAGAACTGGAACAAATAATCTTAAAATATGTACGGCTCCACAAAAGACCCTAAATAGCCAAAGCAATATTGAGAAAAAAATACAGCTGTATTATCTTCCGTGTTTTCAAACTATACTGCAAAGCTACAGTAATGGTATTGGCACAAAAACAAACACACAGATCAGCAGACCAGAATAGACAGCCCCAAAATAAACTCATGCTTATATGGTCAATTTATCTAAGACAAAAAGGAAACAAGAATATGCAGTGAGGAAAAGACAGCTTCTTCAATCAGTATTGTTGGGAAAGGTGGACAGCTACACACACACAAATAAAACTGGATTATTTTTGTACACCATACACAAAAATAAATTAAATGGATTAAATACTTAAATATAAGGTCTGAAACCACAAAACTAGACAAAAATATAGGCAGTTATCTCTTTAACATGGGTTCTTAGCAATTTTTTTTTTTACTGTGTCTCCTTGGGCAAGGGGAACAAAAGCAATAATAAACAAAAGGGACTGTATCAAGTTAAAAAGCTTTTTGCACAGTGGCGGAAATTACTAACAAAATGAAAAGGCAACCTACTGAGTGGGAGAAGATATGTGTAAATGATGTATCAGATAAGAAGGGGATATTCAAAATACATAAAGAACTTAAATAACTCAATATTAAAAAAAAATAAAACAACCAGATGAAAAAATGGGCAGAGGACCTGAATAGACATTTTTCTGGAGAAGGCATGCAGGTGCCCAACAGGCACATAACAAGATGCTCAGCATCACTCATCATCGTGGAAATGCAAATGAGAATCACAATGAGATACTACCTCACAATTGTCAGGATGGCTATTATCAAAAAGACAACAGATAACAAGTGTTGAAGAGGATGTGGAGAAAAGGGAATTCTAGTACACTGTTGGTGGGAATGTAAGTTGTACAGCTACTACAGAGAAGAGTATGAAGATTCCTCAAAAAAATAAGAATAGAACTACCATACAATCCAACAATTCCACTTCTGGGTATTAATCCAAAGAAACTAAAAACATTCATTTGAAAAGATGTATATATACTCTTATATTTATTGCAGCATTTTTTTATAATAGCCAAGATATGGAAGCAACCTAAGTGTCCATTGATTGATGAATGGATACAAAAGTGTGGTATATATGCAAGGGAATATTACTCAGTCATAAAAAGAATGAAATCTTGCCATCTGTAGCAACATGGATGGACCTGGAGGCTATTATGCTAAGTAAAATAAGTCAGACAGAGAAAAACAAATACTGTATGATTTCACTTATATGTGGAATCCAAACAAAACAAAACAAAACAAAACAGAATCAGACATTGACAACAAACTGGTGATTGCCAGAGGGGAGGGAGTGGAGGGACAGACAAAATAGGTGAAGGGGATTAAGAGGTACAAACTTCCAGCTCTAAAATGAATAAATCACAGGGATGTAATATACATATAGTGAATAATATTGTAACAACTTTGGGTGGTGACAGTAACTGGTCTTACCACAGTGATCATTTCACAGTGTATAAAAATATCAAATCACTTAGTTATACACCTGAAACTAATATAATACTGTACGTTAATTATAACTCAGTTTTTTAAAAAGTAAGGATTCAAGTAATGGAGTCAGACAGCTGAAGTTCAAAACTTGGCCTTTCCTTTTTTTTTTGCACAAATGACCTTGGGCAAATTATATAACCAAGTCTCAGTTTCTTCTTTTGCAAAAAGGAAGATAATACGTGTGCCTGCTCATAGGGTCATGACAGTGTATGAAAAGCAAACAGCAAATGTTGACACAGCATTAATTGTTATTTTACTAACTGTGATTTTAATAATAGTGTGGAGTGCTATTCGCTTAGTGGGCCAACTTTGTGTACGAAAAATGTTTATCTTCTAAGGTGCTTCACAGAAGAATTGGCCAGTGGGGAGATAAAGAGAGCATTTCACAGGTGTGGCACTCGGGTCTCGGGTCATTCACTGTGACACAAGCTGAAGCGTGTGCTGTTTCTGATACTCAGAGACAGACCTGGCTAGAGGCGTCAGAAGAACAGTCCAATGAACTTGTCAGACCCTGAGGTCTGAGGGCACAGTCCTTTGTAAGACTGATCTCACTTCAGATCCAGTTGCAAGTTTAGGGGTGCCCAGGGCCACCGTCACTTCTGAACAGCTAGCTACAAATTTGGATGTCCCCACAACCACTGTAGGTTCCATAATTCACTAGAAGGCTCACAAAGCTCACTGAGAGTACATATGATCATAGTTTCATTATGGCAAAGGGGTATAAATTGAAGCAGCCAAGAGAAGAGACATTTAGGACACAGTCTGAGAGAGTTTCAAATGCAAATCTTCCATCTTCCTCTAGATGTGGTCCCTTCCCAGTACTGAAATGTGACAATACTCAGAGCATTGCCAGCCAGGGAAGTGCTCTCAGTCTTCGGTGTCCAAAGTTTTATTAAGAGTTTATTAGGTGGGCAAGCTTGGTTGATTCACAACAAAGACATTTCCATCACTTGGCAAATTCCAAGGGTGAGAAGTTAACTCCCAGGGACAAAGGCCAGCCAAGCCCTTTATGATGCTGACAGTAATTGTACCGAACTGCACTGAGTTCATGGGATCTGTAATCACTGGGGAGATAGAGCATAATGTGTGGACCCAGTGCCCTATTTCTCCCTGAACACCCTGAAAGCTTTTGGTTTCAAAGACCAAAACGGAAATAACAGGAGGAGAACTCTTTCACAGTTCACAGCAGACCACAGCCACAGGACTCTTCAGAAACTCCTTAAAACCATCCAAGTTTGCCACATCGCCTGGCTGAGCTGACCCAGATACAGGGCAGGGGAGACGTGAGAACCTTCTTTATATTCTGCAACCCAGTTTGCCCTTGAAGTTTCCTGCATCCAGGGGAGAAACAGGCAAGTGAGGAACAGAAGAGGCAGGGGACAAAACAGAAACCTCTCCTTTCCTCTGACTTCTTTCAAAGAAATAAACACCAGCAACCAAACACTGTCTATTCATTTCTAAAATCAAACGGAGGTATTAGCTGAATTCATGGGGCAATTTGCCTTCACACATCACCCAGGGTTCACCTTTCCCAATTGGGGTAAGGAACCACGCCAACAAATTATTCTTAGGCAATTTTGGCCTAGCATGGAGGTGGGCCAGGATGGTTAGGAGTTTTGATTTATACTGTGAAAGCTGCTAGGAAAAATAAAAACCAAAACTGTCCCCAAATGGATTTGTCATCTTGTATAAAGCCCTTGATTATTAGACAGCCTTAACTCTCTGATTTGTTAATGATTACTGACATTAAATTTCAAGCTCAAAATGGAAAGGATTTGATTTAACATTCAGATTAACAAAAGCTTCATACGGTCCTCCCAGCCATCCAGCGATGTGAGTGAAAAGCAAATGAGGTCATATAGAATTCTGAGTTGAGTGGAGAAATAAATGTCAAACACTTGCTTGAGTTTCAATTTGACTGTGATTTCGTAGGGAGGAACCACTTTGACAAACCAGAGTGGCTGAAGGTGACATTTAGCCTTTGGGTATGCTAGGTTTTCCTTTTCAATCAAAACCCTGAAGTACAATCACTTGATTTCTATCACCATGGAAGCTGACGTGCTGAAGATTAATCTAGCGCTTGAGAGTAAAAATCAACTGTATTTTAAAAATTAATTTTATGGAAAATTACTCTCTAATATATGCTAATTGCTTCTGCAGTTGAGACCAAATTACTTCCTTTTAAAAAGTGAGGTTTGTGGGTAAGCTTTTCATATGTTCCTACAATATGAATACAAACCCATTCACTCATATGGTCATTCTAGGACAATTCTATAGGTTTTTCAGAACTATGTTTTGTTGTTTAATTACATTTAGATATACATACTGGTATGCTTCTCAAAATACCTAAATTCTTAGAGTCTCTTTGGGAAAGAAACCTTTCATTAGGGATTGCAATTACATGAATTTTGAATCACTGCTGATCAGATAATGTTCCTTGATTATTAGCAAATCCAAATAATAAATAGTTGACATAGAATGACTGATTCTTTTTTTGCTTTTTTAATAAATACAAAATATATTTTAATATTTTTGGTTGAGAAACACACTTATTTAAAAAATAAAAATAATATTAAAAGAAATACAGAGAAGTCTCTCGTTCCTATTCTTGTCCTCATCTACCAAATACCCCCTCCTTGTAGGTAACCCTGTTGATTATATTCTACTACTTTTACATTATTTCTATGTGCAAACATAAGAGAACAGAAGTATGCATTCTGATGCTTCTTCATTCTGCTCAAAGGAGCACACCAAACACATTCTTACTAAAGGTAAGTTTCAGTGCTCACTTCAGCAGCACATGCACTAATATAGGAACAATGCAGAGAAGATTAGCGTGGCCCCTGTTCAAGATGACACGCAAATTTGTGAAGTGTTCCATATTTTTTTTTCACTTCAAAACCCAGAATTTTATAACTGGCATAAACATTTCCATTGCATCAAAACAACAGAATACCTAGAAATAAATTTAACCAAGGAGGTTACCTATACTCTGAAAACTGTAAAACATTGATGAAGGGAATTGAAGATTATACAAGGAAGTGGAAAAGATATCTTGTGCTCTTGGATTGGAAGAATCAACATTATCAGAATGGCCATGCTTCCCAAAGCAATCTGCAGATCCAGTGTGAGCCCTGTAAAAATGCTCACGATAATTTTTCACCAAACTGGAATGAACAATCCCAAAATTTGTATGGGACCATGAAAGACCCAGAATTGCCAAAGCAAAAAAACAAACAAACAAATAAACAAACAAACAAACAAACAATTAAAGAATATCCAACAATAAAAAAAGATATTTCAGAATTATTTCCTTATCAGAGCAGCTGTGCAGTACATTGTGTGGATGCACCATTGCTTCATTAGCCAGTGTCATAGTGGTTCACCTGGGTTGTCTCCAAACTCCTGCTCATAGAAGCAGTGTTGCATATTGGCACATGCCATTTATTGTAAGTACAGGAATCTGTTGACTATATTCCCCAGAGAGAGCTTGCTGGATCAAAATTAAATGCATTTGTCATTTTGGTAGAAATTGCCAAATGCCCTTCATAGGATTTTATCATTTTCTTCATTCCTATTAGCAATGTGGGAGAGTGGCTCCTCTTTCCCCTCCTTGCCATGGTGTGTTGCCAAACTATGGGCTTCCTGTAACTTTTATGTAGTTAGCTGAGGTTTAACTTTTATTTCTCTTAAGTGTAAAGTTAATCATTTCTTCATATGTTCAAGACCCGTCTATATTTTTTAGGTGACGTTCATGTATCTTTTTGTCATTTGACTATTTCCTCCCAATATTAAAGAAATTTTTTAAAAAGTAACTTTATTAAATGAGTTATTTATATTTATTAAATTAATTGCTGTTTATTGAAGTTTAATTTATAAACTGAGCACATTTAAAGGGCATAATTTGATAAATTTTCTCACACACACATATATCCTTGAATGTATGCCACAATATGGATACAGATACATATGTATATATCATATATATATTCCTGTGACACCATCACTATAATCAAGATAACAAACATTTCCATCACCCCAAAAGTTTCATAGTCTACCAAATCTGCATAACAAACTTGACCTAGGAAGTAAAATGGTTGTCCTTGAACTTGCAGGAGGACCCTGCTTGGAGTCTGCCCTACACTGATTCTTCTATCCTATGGGTGGGAACGGGTGGCCTGAGACTAATATTCATTCTCTGTCATGTCAGAGGTTGAAAGCTCATTGTCCTTATGTATCTTCCTAAAATGTTTTAAATTTCATTGTGATTTAAAATGGAAATGGAAAAATTACAGTTCTTTTTTTCTTCTAGTTTTGAGATATAGTTGATGTACACTGTAAAAGTTTAAGGCTTACAGCATCATGATTTGACTTACATACATCATGAAATTATTTTCACAGTAAATGCAGTTAACATCTATCATCTCATATAGAAACAAAATTTTAAATGAAGAAAAAAAATTTTCCTTGTGATGAAAACTCTTGGGATTTACTCTTTTAACCACTTTCATATACAACACACAGCAGTGTTAATTACATTGATCATGTTTTACATTCTATCCCTAGTACTTATTTACCTGTAACTGGAAGTTTGTACCTTTTGACCACTTTCATTTAATTCCCTCTCTCCTCACCCCCACCTCTGGCCTTTTTTCCTATGAGTTTGTTTGTTTGGTTTTAAATTATATTAGTTCCTGGTAAACAACATGGTGATTCTGTATTTCTATATATGACAAATCATAGTTCTTTATATTATTGTTCTTTAAATTAACAAACTGAATTTATATTTTAGTTTCGTTATAATAAATATGAAAGCATTTATGTTTTTCTCTAGTGAGTTTACTAAACTACTAATGGAAAAAGTATATATATATATATATATCTCTAGCAATAATGTATATGATGACATGAAACAACTGTATAGCCTGTATATATAAATAACCATATATATAACCAAATTGTCAGCATTCCCAATATTTTATAAAATTAATTTTATTCAGCTAAAATCATATGCACAGAAATAAAACCCCAATAGCCTTAAAACTCGAAGCCTAACAGCAGTGTGATAAAATTTGACATTTAAGCCAAATAACTGATATATATTTAAAAAGGAAATAGTTTTGGAGGATGGTAGGTAGATTATTTTAACAGTTAGTATTCTTTCTCTCCTTATAAAAGGCAATGTATAATGATATTTGGAAATCAAGAATAATTTTTTAATTTTTCATTTTTGATTCCATCAAGTGAAATTTTTAACCAAAATGCATCCTGTGAGTAAGGAGGAACAATAATAAGAGACTATGTTTGACTATTTTAAAAACCCATCATAAAGAAAGATAAAAAGATAAGAAAATATACACAAAAAAATTTGGTCTAAGAACTGTAATGTTCTAAAAAGACCTTAGGAAACGACATGAGAAAGCGGGGTACCTGACCCCCTGCAGTTCTCATGCCCATGTGGACACAGTGAACTCATTACTCTCTGACTGCATGTCTGGAGCAGGAAAGGATGGGGCACAGGAGGTAAATGTGGGAGATGTTCTTCCCTCAATTTCTCAGACATTGAGAGTGGAGGAGGGTGCCTGGGAAACACCTAAAGATAGCATCTGAGACCGTCCAGAGGCTGCACAGCTACTTTGCACCCTTTCATTTCCTGACTTAAAAGTTTCTCGCTCTTTCCACGATACTGCTCAGTGGTATGGGGTGTTCCAGTGTCCTGTGTGTAACTAAGAGCTAGAGATGAATAAGTCGTAAACCAGCTATCTAGCAAATACCCTTCAGTAGATACATGGAGGTACTTTACAAGCTGTTCTGAGACTAGGTTGATTTAATTTAAAAATCTACAAAGAAATTTGAAATATTACATCATTAAAGAAAACTCAGTATTGAAGGCATTTCTTGGTTTTCCCATATTAGAGCTATAAATTCACAGAAGTTGAGAACCAAAAGAGGCTGAAGATATATCAAGTCCAACTAACCTCTACTGTGGGTGAGAACACTGTTGAGGGCAAGGGGCGGGGAGAGGAAGAGAGAGAGTAAGGAGCAAGCATTTGGGGGATTTGTCTGAGGTCTCACAGTTAGTGGCAGAAAAAACTACTACTGGCCAGCACATCCTACTGTGCAAGTGAAAACCCACATGCGTATACTTATAGGTTGGCTTAAGCTTTGAGGGAAAATTTGTTTTGCTTTCCATAAAAAATTTCCTTTCCTTTCCACAATGCAGATATTTGGGTCCTGGACCTGAGAAAAGTGTAACATGCCACTTGACACACTCACTATTGGATTGTCCCAATGACAAGCTAGCTGGGACCAGAGTCTACTTCTCTTAATAAAAGGGTTTGAATATACAGGTGAAAACTTTTAATAAAATTGTTTCATAAACAAACAAACAAAAAAGAGGGTTTGAACCTAAGTCCAGCTCCCTAGAGCATCACTGGCTTCCCATGGTGCTGGGCAGCTGGCATCTTGTTAACACCTGGCACGCAAACGCCTTCTCCATGAAGCTGTTCTCACACTCGCCCTGGATGAAGGCAGAACACCAGACGAGTTGGCCCTCTCTCCTGGGATGCCATCCCTGGCTGCAGTGCCTGGCCTAGCGTGCCTCTCCGTGGGGAAAATGGGAAAAAGAGGAGATTCTCTGCATTCTCCTCTCTTGCTGACCTGGGCTCTGGAAGTTTTCTTCCCAAATATAACCTTTTCCTTAGCCTACACCCTAAGGTGCAGAGATGTCCTCTGGAGCCCTGCAGCCCCACTGCTGATCAATCCACCTGGCACAAGCATCTTATCAACAGTGCCTCAAAGGGTCTTAGTAAAATATCGACACAACCAAAGCATAAAAGAGGGACCACCTGGAATAAGCCATAATACTCAGAGACAACAAAATGTCAGAGAGGTGAGTAATCACAGAATCTATCTGTGAGGTCAGAGGCAAAGGAATTTTATTTAATTTGTTTGGTAGACTGACATATAGTTGATATACAGTATTATATTAGTTTCCGGTGTACAACATAGTGATTCAAAATGTTTACAGTTTATCATGGAGCATTAGCTATATTCCCTGTGCTGTGTAATATATCTTTGTAGCTTACTTCTTTTACACATAGTAGTTTGTACCTCCTCCTCCCCTACCCTTGTCTTTTCCCTGCCTTCCCTCTCCTTCCTGGTGACCACGTCTAGCATTTTAAATCATTGAGGCTTACATCAGTTTCAAAAATAATCTAAATGTATGTATGAAGAATCTATAATAACGTGTCCCAGTGGGCATCTGTTTTTGCCTGGACTCCCTTTCCTTTTGGTAGTACCACCTCTGTGCTTTGGGACACATTTCCTTTCTCCTATTGCATCCATCCTTGGTGAGCTGTCAGTCAAGATGCCAAGGTACCCTCTGGCCAGGGGGCGGCCACAGGGCTCCTGATGGACCAGCTGGATTCTCCTTGCTTGAAATTTGAATACCGATGATGTGACACTAGGCTGGAAACAGCTGCAGCAGATCTGTTCTGCTACCTCCCAAGAGCCTGTTTTGCAATTTAATCTTCCCTTTGATTCTACTTGCACCCCAAAATCTTTCCAACACGTTTTCTTTTTTTTACTTAAGTTTCATAGCCCTTGTTTCATTGTTTCTCTAGCTTGCAACAAAAGAAACTTAACTAATGTGTATAAAAATATTTTATGTGAAATTAAAAATCAAAGTAGAAAATTCTCCATATAATATAAAAACAACTTTGAAAAACTATGTTTGGAAGAAAGACTGAGAAGGAAATACTGATGCCACCATTATGTGTCCCAGAAAAATGGGATAGAGATAATTTATGTCCTCTTCTACATTTTCAATGATGAATATTTATTATCTTTTAAAATAATTTTAATTAGAGGAAAAGAATTATAATA